TCTATATTGTCTGTATTGTGCTTGTGATATGTTGTAAAATGTTGTATGTCTGTTAATGTTTCCTTCCTTTTATCCTTAAAATAAAAAAAATAAAAAAAAAAATTTAAACATTCACTGTATGTTTCAATCACATCTCATACATTTATTTATGTGACTATTTCATTAACGTGAACCTTTCCCCACCTAGTTTGTAAACTGCAAAATTTCTAACCAATAACAGTTTCTTAGTACTGGAACATAGGATTTTAAAATTACTTGAAAATGTATATATAAATTTATAAGTATTTCAAATATTTTTAAATCCACAGAGCCATTACCTTTAATGCCTCTATGAGGATTATTTTGACAAAATTAGGAGGGATGTGGGGGAAGGAAAAAAGCTTCATTTTTACTTATTTTGTCTCCTAAAATCATTTGGTAAAAGCCTAGTAACATCTCTAGGTTAGGATGGCTTGATAATAGTAGCTTCCATTTCCAACGTACCTTTCTTCCAAAGGGATCCTATGGTTTGTAAACAGATCTCCAAGTCTCCTTTGAGGAGACTCTTAGAAACATGCTAAGAACAAACTACGTCGTGATACTAAACAGACCTGATGAGCTTTCTACGGAAACGGGTCAAATCTCATTGTAAACAGATGCCCAGTATCGTTTTAAGATTGTCTCATTTTCTTAACTGCAAAATCAGTGTGAAAGGCAACAAAAGTAACTGCGCCTTTGCACGAACTCTGGAAAGGCGCCATTTAGGGTCCTGAACAACGGCGTTTCCCTAGGTAGCCACGAGTTTGCATCTGCCGCAGAAGTAAGGCTTATTTTTCACTGGTACTTGTTGACCACTTTGTGTTAACCCGAGAGCTGAGCGTGGTGTATGCATTAACGAATTTAGTCAAAACCTTCAGCAGGCTTCTTCCCCTGATTAAGGCAGCCAATAACGTCCCTAGGCATCCAGCCTGCGCTGATTTGATTATTACCTGGTTGCCAAGGCAGCCTAGTCCTTCCAGGCCAGACCCAGGCTAAAGAATGGGAAAGTAGATATTGCACCTCCCGCCTCCCGGCGAAGCAGGAAAGTCCAGCCCTCAGGTCCAGGCCCCCAAGGGCCAAGCCTTACCCTCCTGGCTCAGCGAGGGCAGCGTGGGCAGCACCGGCCTGCCCAGCTCCTGCACGTCAGGGAGGATAGTGTCCAACATCGTCAGTCCCCAGTCCACTTCGCGCTTGGTCCTGGGTGGCTCTCGTTTCTTCCTTCTTTATAGGAAGTTTCAACTGCAGCGATTTACCCACCTACCAGCCGCTTTTCCCCGGAGCATAGGATGTGCTTCAAAACAAAAATTATCCAAATAGTGAGTTTTTTAGATTTTTTCTTAAATAAATGTTATTTCTCGCGTCCCTGTCCCTGGATCGGGCTCTCGGAGGGTGTGACGGCAGAACGCTTGAACGCTGTCCAGCGTTGCTCCAAGTGTGCAAAAAAATGCGCCCACCAGAAGAATGACAGGCGCTGAGAGGTGAGAGGGACCAGAGAAGCAGCGGCTGAGCTGAGCCGAGGGAGAAGGGGGCGGAGCGAGTTGCTAGGACGCAACAAAGGCTCGCCCGGTTGCTAGGGCCTCAAGGCGGGGATTAGCCAAAGGCTTAAATTGGAATTCTCCCAGTATCCATCCTGCCTTGTGCCCAAACCTCAGCTGTTGTGAGCACACCTTCCTCTCCCTACCTGCACAGATAAGTGGGGTGACCTTCCTCTGGGCGCACATTCCCTCCGTGTTTCTTGAATGAAGGCTAAGCGGGCTGTGTACATAAGCAAAGCTTTGGGAGCGCCCCCAAGATCCACACCGCACCAGCAGATACAAAGCCCCATCTGGTGGTGAATTAAGAGTCTGTCAGACGGAAAAAAACCGCTACCATGACTTGTAAGTATAAGTAATCATACTTACTGCCAAAAAATACCTGTTCTTGGGAGAATGTTCCCGATTTTTCACTTATTCCAGTTTTCTTTTTTTTTTTTTTTTTTTTTTTTGGTTTTTCTCTGGTATCGGGAATCGAACTCAGGACCTTGAGCTTGCCAGGCAGGTGCTGTACCGCTGAGCTAAATCCCCAGCCCCGGTATTTTCTGTCACCCTCCTCCTATTTCATTCCATCCTTACTTCTCTATTCCTTTCTCCTGTATTTGAACTGCTCTGAAAATGCAGTTTTGGTTAGCATTTGTTTGGATTTAGTGTGCTAAGAGCAGATTTTCTTTTAGAATTCATACACTTACATTGTGTATAATCTTGATGGAGCAGTAATTCCTAGTGACCATGCTCCTATTCCCTAAACTGATGCAGATCCTTGCCCTCTTTTCCTCAGCTGGACCAGGAGCCTGGTTTGTGTCAGAGCTCAGTTGTCAGATGCTCCTTCTGGGGCACAGATTGTTGAGATGGTGACATATTGACAGCCGGAACATCTGGGAGATAGCTATGCGGGGATGGCATACGTTCCTCACTATCCTGTTTTAAGACAGAGTCCCTAATGTCCAGCCCTCCACAGCCCCCTTGAATCCTGGCCTGTCCAAGTCTGGTTCTCCCAGCTCCCATCAGCTTACTACCTTCTCAAAGGCCTTCCAATAACACTGTGGCCTAGATTAGCCCAAATCAACATCCCTGCCCTTATCTGCTTCCGAGTTTACAGAACAATTAAACATCAGACTATGTCGTGTAAAAGAAAGAGACTGCCAACCCTCCTTCCTCGTTTTCAGAAAATAAATGTGAGGAGTAGAGAGATACATTTAAATCCTAGCTTTAATTAATCAGGTGGCTCAAGCAGAGCAGTGTGCAGTTTATGTGAGGGTGTTGAAAATGAAAACCAGAAAAAGAACAAATGTCAATAGGAAGATTAGAGACTTCTAGTATAGATTAGTAGTCCTGGAATGGAAATGAATCCTCTTAATATGACATTGATGTGTTTACATTAGGACAAAAACGACTGCAGCTAAGGATTCAACAGATTCCCCTTCCCTCTGCCCCTTAGAGAACCTTACCGTGTAGGACACAGTTGTGGAGCCAAGGTGGGACAGTTTTTAACCACTGATGGCAATTGAGTCCAAGTGAGCTGGCCTTTTGTCTCAGGATTTTCCCAGGTGAAGGGGCTTATGGGAGCAACTCGCAAGCATCTTTTCTGTGTTGTTGACAACATAGAGATCTTGCCCAAGGTGATTAACAGTCTCCGGCTGATGTGTGACTGGATGCATGTGTTTCCCCTGTCTGATAGCAATGGAGGTCACAGTGAGGCAGTGGGGTTGATGTTCAGCCTCGGAGGAGAGTCTTTAGTCTACACCTCTCGGAGGAGAGTTTGCAGAACGTGAGGATTGTGGTTATCTGTCTCAGGCTGATGCAGGCATCATTTTCCTCTCAGGAAACAGTCAAAGTTAAACGTGCAGGGTTGAACGAGAGTGAGGCTGACTGCCTTGGTGTGACAGAGATGTCCTCCCAGGCTGCAAGTTTGTGTCTGGCAGAAGGGGTGAGAGGCAACAGTCCCAGTTGCCCTGGTGATGGTTAGCTTTTTGACAGTGGGAACTTTTGAAGGCAGAGAGTTCTGTTGCATTGTCTACCAAGAAAGCCAGTTTGCTCCCAACTTTTGCAAAGACCATAGGCTCTCAGGGGCCCAATTTGATAGAGCTTGTTCTGTCCTATCTACTCAGGCCCAGAGGGTACAACTCACTTGTCAGGGCTGACAGTCCAATTTTTCCTCTGTCAAAATGTGGAACTCAGAGGAATTGTGGACGGTAATCTCAGGTGGGTGTTAGATGATGCCATCTGACCAGGATAGGCGTGCAAGCACAAGGCTCTGGAGGGAAGGCCTCTGGGGCTAAAGGCAGGCAATTGGCTAGCTGGAACCAGTTCAACTGGCTGGAAGAAGGCAAACTGGGAGTAGGAAATGAAACTATAGCTGTTGGCAGCAACTTTGGCAGCTAAGAGTGCCAAGATGGAACTCTCAGGAAAAAACGAGCCTCTTTATCATTTTTTTTTTCTTGGAGATGCAGGGAGCAGTTTGGTTTCATTTTTAACTCCCTAAAAGCCCGTTCCTCCAGTCAGAGTCTGTGGGCTTTAACTAATTAATTTCCATTCTACCTCCCTACAGTGTATGCTGTGTATCCTTGAACAATGGCACAACAAAGGATGGGCACCCCTCAGAGACAGACTATTCAGATGCCCTTCTGGCAGCACCCCTCAGTGGGACTTAGGTGCAACTTAGCTAAGGAGGGTGAGAGGACTCAGTTATGCCATATGTTGAGCAGGTGAGGCCCAGTCAGCCTCCATGACCAGTGCTTTCCAGTCTTGGTGCACAGACAGAGCCCTATTGCGTATGCTGTCTAGCCCTCCCACTCATTTATTCAGCAGGCATTCAGCGGTTAAATATTCTAAACCCCCTCTCCTTGAGGGTGGTATTAATTAACAAGAATTGATTAAGCTCTACTGCTCAAACTAAGCAGGACTGACACCTAAGCAGGTCCCCCCAAGCCCCTAGGGTCTTATTGGAATTAGGCAGGCAGGCAGACAGATTGCATTCTCCTTCCTTTGAGTTCCAATGGACCTGCTCAAGCTGGGAGCCAGGAATTCTCCTCCAGACGCCCAAGGGGACTTGAGAAA